ATGATGCATCTTACCATATTAGTGGATGGACACTAAAAATTCTGTCCAGTTTTTATCCAAAGTTTGTAATAATTACCAAATAACGTCACCAGGTCACGTCTTTTCCCTTCTTTTCTTATTTTAGAGATGTTGATCATGTCGAATCGATGACTATCATTATTTTACATTTTTTTTAATGTAAAAAACATTGTTTTCATATTATCCTTTCTCAATACATATTAATTCAATGACCTATAAATGGACCACCCATCCAAGTTGGATGTGTAACCACAAAGTTTCAAGTTCAACACTCCATGGGAGCTATTTATTGACATTCTTAATTTGAATTGGTCATAGGTTTAGGGTTTAAGGTTTAAGGTCCCCTTTTAGTCAGGTTATTTCTTTATGGTTCTTTACCAACTAAAATTACAATGCAAGTTTCATCTAAAATGCAATATAAAGTAGTGGCTACAGGCTTTAATTTTCCGTTAATTAAAGTTATCTCAAAATGGATAGTATTTATCATTTGTTAACGAAATCTTAGTGGAATATATTATGTCCATTTCGAAATAATCGAGTATGAAATTTGTCAAAATAAAATAAAAGTAACGAATTAAAACTGTCACTATAGTCTATAGTAATCATGACAAAAATTTAATAATAAACAAGTGTAACACAGAGAGGAAAACAACAGAATAGAGCTACCTAAACAGATAGAATATAATAGTGAGCTTAAGCTGTCTTGCTTGTATCAAACACTCCCATCCGTACATGATTACCTCTTAAGTCTTAACTGTTAATAATAATATATATATTGTCCAGATCTAATTAGGTGGTATAATTGACCACTGTTCCTCGCTATACCCATCTGTCTTCTATTTCTTATTCCCTCACCTTCATATTAGGTAATTTCATTATTTTTTTTTTTATTTTTTTATATAATAATTTGATTAAGAGTTTTGATATCTAACTTTTATATCGAATTTTAACTAATTTAAAATCGAATAATATAAAATTTTATTTGAAAAGGTTTCTCAATATTTGTCCGTTGACTTTGTTTGGCATATCTAGCTGAAAAGCTAGTAGAGGATAGCAGTCTAGAAGCTGATGATAGATTTTAAACTAGTTGATTGGAGGTAGAAGTATGTGTTTGGTAAAATTAGATGTTCGTGAAGTTAATAAATGTTAGAATGGACAAAAAAGAACATATGCACATATTACAATTAGTTATTAAAGTAGCCAATTCTTAGGTACATGTTAATATCTGTCTAATTTTACTTGTCATGTATACTATATATATATTGATCAAATTAATTCTTTGTTCTTTGCTTATTTTCTTATTATTTTTAATTTTGTGTGTGTGTGTTTAGTAATACTTTTAATTTGGTTTCTAAATATATAAATTTTATATACTAATACAATAATATATACTAAATTTAATATATCAAAAATTGAATTATAAATAACTTCACTGAAGTCTTGTTAATTGAATCAAATGCACAAAATATGATGGAGTAATAATAATAAAGGGTTGATGAGCTTATGAATAATGAGACCAAATACAAATTTTACAAAGGAGAGAAGAAGGAAACACAAAAGAAAAATAGGGAAAAAAAAAGGTGAGGGTGGGGGGTGGGGGGGGGGGGGGGGGGGGAGGGAGGAGAGAGAGAAAACCATGCTAAAATGAGAAAAGGAGGGGGACGGGTGGATTTTAATTACATAATGGTAGTGTATTCAATTTTTGTAAATGTATACTGATCAAGGTTGCAAAATATGTTAGGCGCCCTGGCGCCGATTTCAAAAAAAAAAAATTGTCTAAAATAGATAACTGAGTTAAAAGTTATGCCTTGACAAATTTTTTATACTTTTCAACAATCCAAAAAAAAAAAAAAAAAAAAAAAAAAACGAGGGTACAGCCGGCTAGGCAGCCGCCCGGCCGCGGAGGAGGCCGATTCCGGCCTTCTTCGTCGCGGCCGGGTGGTGTCTAGACGCGATTTTTGCAACACTGATAGTGATGAAAATGAATGAAATAATGAAAAAATTATGACTTATTATTCAAACACTATGTTTTATAGCGTTTGAAAATAAGCTCAAATAAGAGTGATTTTAAGTTTGTAAAATTTTATCAAATAAAATTTATAATTTATTGGTAGCTTAAAATAAGTTATACGTTCTAATAAGTTATAGAGTCGTTATATTATTTATAAAACTTAAACTTAAAATGTTATTTAAAAGAAATTGATGGATTTTAACAAAAATATAATTTATTGATATTAATTTATTAACTGAAATATATAAAATATAAATATATAATCTAATTATTATGTTAATCTTTTCGTTAATTAAAGAGAAAATATATCTTTCAATTTAATATGCATATACTTTCAATTAAGACAAAATAAATATGCTTTATCTAAGCATTCAAAAAAAAATATATATGCTTTATCTAATCTTTGTAAGTGTGTGGTTGGCACATGCAATGATGCAATTCAAACATTGCAAATCACATGGTCTAAAGTCAATGTTTATACAGGAATCTAATCCACAATGTATCAGATCCAATGGGTTTTTCGTTAAACTATGAGTTTATGGCAAAAGAATTCAAGATTAGTTGTCTCTCTGGTTGGTTTTTTTTTTTTTTTTTTTTTTTTTTTTTTTTTTTTTTTGGGGGGGGGGGGGGGGGGGGGGGGCGGAGGGGGTTGCAGTAGCTAATAGCCAAATATAACGTATGGATATGCACTGCTAGCTAGACTTTTGAGTTTGAAGTCTATGTACAACGTGAATACTACTTCAAGATATTTCATCATCATCATTATTTATTTTTATTTTTTTATAACTTACGTATTCCAACTTTGTCAGGCTAATTTTGGATGTTATGGAATCACGGTCAAGATCTATGAGAAGGTAAATCAAGCATGTATAACTTTAAGACATAATATCAAATTGGGAATAAGGTTCAAATTGGCCACTGAACGAAAAAAAAAGTGCAATTAGGTCATTGAATACTCCAAAAACGTGCAATTAGGCCACTGAACTCTCCAAACGTATGCAATTTCACCGAATAGCAGGTTACCATCAATTTTAGCAAGTTACCTGCTTACGTGGCAGCTTAGTTGGCATTTTTAATAATTTTTAAATAATTTTTAATAATTAATTTTAATAATAAATTTTATAAAAAATTGGAAAAAATTAAATAAAAAATAAAATAAAGTTGTTTTTATTTTTTAAAAAAAATTTTTAATAAAAATTTATTATTAAAATTTATTAAAAATTAATTAAAATTTATTAAAAATGCCAACTCAGCTGCCACGTAAGAAGATAACCTGCTAAAATTGAGGGTAACCTGCTATCAGGTGAAATTGCACATTTTTGGAGTGTTCAGTGGCCTAATTGCACTTTTTTTTCGTCCAGTGGCCTAATTGCATTTTCAGGTTACGTTCAGTAGCCAATTTGAACCTTATTCCTATCAAATTGTACACTTTTATGCACAAAGAACTTAACCCAACTTCTTAGTTTTAAATGTAGCTTCTCAACCACATGCAACACCTCTTCCATTATTTTATATATATATATATATATATATATATATATATATATATATATATATATATATATATATATATATATATAATTTTTATCCTGTGTATAAATATTGACCAATCTTTTTTTTTTTTGTATGTAATTATTAAATTATTAAATATAATAAAAATACCCACTTTTAATTGTGAGTTTGAAAATTTACGTATATTTTAATTTCCAAATTGATGTCTAGGTTGGCAAACATCTTTTTCTCTGTTTTGGCTTGAATTGCCTTGATTAGTACAGCACAAATATATCCAATTCAATTAAGGGGTATATTTGGTTTGCTGGAAAATGTTTATTTGAATTTGAAGAAAATTAAAATTTTCTTTGTTTGGTTCATGAAAAACATTTTTCATGGTCCTTATTGGTATTTTGTTTGTCATGGAAAATAAATAGGATAATTATGCTCTTATCAATTTTTCTTAATTACCATTATTATTATTATTATTATTATTATTATTATTATTATTATTATTATTATTATTATTATTATTATTATTGTATAGGGGTATAATTGTCTTTATACTCATTATTTTTTACAATTTCAAATCCAACCAAACGAACAATGAAATTCATATTCTCAGTAATTTCTTTTCCACCAACCAAACAATAAAATCAATTTTTCATAAAATTTTAATTTCATTTTCTTTCAAATATTCTTCAGCAAACTAAACCTATTGTTAGTGATTTGTTTAAAATCTTACGATGGGCCCCAGTTAAATTTATATTTTTTAAAAATCAATTAATAGATTTATGTGGTGTATTTGAATAAAATAAATATTTAAAAGTACAATATTATTTGTGAATAAAATTAGCCACCTCAAGGTGTTTCTCTCTCTTGGACCAAAGCTTATGGATTTATTAATAATTTCTAAACACAACACAACATGGCTACGAGGAGAGCAGTTCTAAATTTAAGTATTAAAATATATGGCGGCCAGCACATTTGTCTATCCGCGATCACATCTTTTTAAAATTTTTGTCCATTCACATACGACATCTATCAAATAAAGAACCCAAATGAGATTTAAATACAAATTTATTTTGAAAATGATATAATTTGTCAGTAAATTATATTTTGAATGCGACTCTTTTCAATTTTACCAGACAACTTTTGGCGAGTTATAACTGTAGAAGTGAGCCCGTATATGCTTAACTCACTGGTTCAGTAGACAGTATTTAAGAGAAGAGACTAAGGTTCAAACCTTAACAGTAACAACCATATTTGGCCCTGTCTGCAAAATAAAATAAACATTGCAAGTCACATATAATGTTATGAGTTGAAGTAGTAATGAAGCCATTATCAATTCTAACTAATGGTTTCCTCTTTCTTTTTGTTTTGTTGCTATAGGATTATTATCTATGGTTAAGAAATTAAAGATTCTAAGCCAGCTGGCTAATATAGCGATTGGGCGTCTGATCCTTAAATATATATAATCCCTCTGCTCAACATTACTTGCTACTTAATTGTTCATCATCACCGAGTTTGAACTGCATATATCAAAGCATACACCATGGGTCAATTAAATCTCGTCGTGTCTGTTCTTTCACTCTCTCTTTGCCTCTTCTGTGCCTCTGCTCAGCTCCGACAGAACTATTACGCCAACGTCTGCCCCAATGTCGAAAACATCGTCAAAAACGTTGTCACCCAGAAATTTCAGCAGACTTTCGTCACCGTCCCCGCCACTCTCCGTCTCTTCTTCCATGATTGCTTCGTCGAGGTACTTTTTTTTTCTCAGTTTACGATAAACTAATCTTCCGTGTCACAGAGTTGCTAGAAGAGGTAAATCGTCAGTTACCCAAATAGCTTCTCAGTCAGTCTCTGTCGGAGTACGTCACAACTGGAAATTATAAAATTTCCGACCACCTGAAAGTAATATTAAATCAAGTCGAAAGTAAAAAGTGGTCGGAAATAGCGACGGAGGTTACCAAAAGTGGTCGGAACAAGGCTTTCGACTTGATTTAAGATCACTTTTAGGTGGTCGGAAATTCCATAATTTTCAGTAGTGCTTGTTTCAATCTCGAGTTTTAATGGTGGTGTTGTTATGAAAATGTAACAGGGATGTGATGCGTCGGTGGTGGTGGCGTCGACGGCGGGAAACACGGCGGAGAAGGACCACCCGGATAATCTGTCGCTCGCCGGAGATGGTTTTGATACGGTTATCAAGGCAAAGGCGGCGGTTGATGCAATCCCCAGATGCAAAAACAAAGTCTCCTGTGCCGATATTCTTGCCATTGCCACCCGTGACGTTATCTCTCTGGTTAGTCCGACAGCTCCTATCATACTTTGTACCATATTTAATTTTAGTTGGCCCATCCTATTTATAAGTCAACTAGTAAAATAAAAATAAAAGAGACACGGACCCTATCTGTTTTAAATTAACGAGTAACTTGTATAATATATGATGATAATAAAATAAATGTACATATAAATGATGATATTATTATTGTATTAATGCAGGCTGGGGGTCCATGGTACCCGATTGAGTTGGGAAGACTTGACGGTTTAACATCAAAGGCGGCCAACGTTGAAGGGAAACTACCAAAGCCAACCTTCAATTTGGTTCAACTGAACACCATGTTTGCTTCTCATGGTCTTTCTCAAACTGACATGATCGCTCTTTCAGGTATTAGTCTAACCAGTTGAGCTTATATACGTGCAACGTTTATAACATCTTATAGTGTAACAATAAAATTTTGAGAACTAGTAAAGGTTAAAAAAAAAAAAAAAAGGGTAAAAAAAATTATAAGTGGACAACTTTCTGCATTTGTGCTATGTGTATTGAGATTGGAATCTTTCAAACCAGATATAAATGCATTGGCAATGGCAAATGTATGTCCACTAGTATTTGGCCTTTTATGCTTTTACAAGAAACTTATAATGTGGTGCAAGTTGTATTTCACTTATTCTATGGTTTGATGATGAACTTTTTTAATATGCTCGTATTGTATATATGTGGTTTAATCGACAGTCGACACCATAGAAAATCTGTATATTTATATTATATTGATATTGATATTGATGATATATATTATGATTTGTGCAGCTGCCCATACGCTAGGATTTTCTCACTGCAACAGATTCTCCAATCGGATTTATAATTTTAGCCCGAAAAGCCCGGTGGACCCAACTCTGAACAAGCAATATGCGTCTCAGTTACAAGCAATGTGCCCTAGAAATGTTAACCCATTGATAGCCATCAATATGGACCCGGTCACGCCCAGAACATTCGACAATGTTTATTTCAAGAATCTGCAAAAGGGAATGGGTTTATTCACTTCTGATCAAGTTTTGTACACAGATTCACGTTCCAAGTCCACTGTAGACTTGTGGGCAAACAACCCTAAAGCTTTTCAAAATGCTTTCAAAGCTGCTATTACTAAACTGGGTCGGGTTGGTGTCAAGACGGGTCGGAATGGGAATATCCGTTTTGATTGTGGAAGGTTTAACTAAGTTATTAGTTATTATCCGTTCCAAAAGAAATTTTTTTTAAAAAAGAATAAAAAATTTCTGATTTCTATTACTTGCTGAAATAGATGGATAAATGTAGGTGAGTCTGTATTTGTGTAAGTTTGGTGAAATAAACTGAGGTCGGAAATAAGATTTGGGCCGAATCTCAGTCGTTCATCCCTTTGATGAGATTGGAAGTTGATATTTGTTTTGATCACTCAGAATCATCATTCTCGTACATGATAAATTTCATGATTTGAATAATTAGATCCAATAATTTTCTTGAATTACAAGTTGTATTAGTATAGCTTAGCTTGCTGTCTTTTTGCCACTTGCTTGAGTTGCTTTTGACTGAGGGAGCTCTTCCGATCCCATGCAAATCTCATGGACAATTGGACATGGTTTATTGGTTAAGTTAATTTTAGTTTTGAAATATTTTTAATAATGAGTATCAAATTTAATTGAAAAATGAATGATAAAAAAGTGAAGAATATTCAAGTTTGGCAAGCTAAGCACGTGGTGATGACCTAGCAAATTATCCTACGTTTTGACATTGACGTACAAACAATGTAGCATTATTGGGTGGTTTAATGGAAAGCGATAATGGAAAGAATCTTTTAATTTATAAGTTATAAATTCTTTTGAGTGACGAGGAAAATCTCACTCTTATATAATAACTCACAAACAATATTACGAAGACTTTGGGCAAATGGACTCGACCAAGATGGTGTTGACGACAAGAATCAAACTCAAAAAATTCTGAATATGTGAACCATGCTCCACCTACTCAGCCAGTCGGGTCACCTTTTGGGGCTTAATTGAAATATAAAGTTGTTTGTATTTCATGGTGGAAAATAATAAAATTGGTAACTTCTAATCAACATGTGCTGCCTGCCCCACAATGTCATTGACACCATAATGCATTTAGAGTAATAACATCTTTTAATTACAACCTGTAGTATGGTTGAGTGGAAGGAACTTATCCATCCTTAATCAAAGGTTAAAGGTTCGATCTTTAACTTTGGATATAGAGCAGCTTTAAATTTTCATACCAGCTGTCCCACTCACCCAAAAGAGGTGTTTTGGGTTCTTACAATTCAGCGAGGGGATTAGTCATAGTGTCCAACGGTGGAAATCTGAGTATACTCAACAAAAATCTTTTAATCACATTCCTTTTGTGTATTTGTTTTTGTCTAGAATTCCAAAAAGATGACGCCACAGTTGAGACTACTGTGAATGATTTTAGCCTAACAAAACAAAGAATGTTCATGGGCCATGGGGAGATGTGAGGGATGATTTAACCTGGCCACAACCTTTCTTTAAGCAAGGCAGACAATCACAAAGTAGTACTTATCCCTCCAAGTACACAAGAGAAGGGAGATTAGCACATACCTAATTCTGGATGAACAGGCCGGGCCGTGTTGATATGTGGCACTGTTGACTGGTTTGCATGTTGCCTCAGTGGGACAAATCTATACCGCTCCCATTGGTACGATTTGAACCCGTATTTTGGATTGGTCGACCAACTGAATTGTGTCTCGGGACCTGTCCCGGTATCTCAGAATCTAAAGGCCTGAGGGTGAGATGATGGTATCCACATTCTGCACAAAGGGCAACTTCACATATTAATGAAACCATCAGCACTTCAATATTTCAATCTGAAGGCTTTCTCTCTCACTGGTGCAGTTGGAGAACTGGACAGTGATAATTATGTGACATAGATAAATGCGTAGCCAAGCTATAAAGAATCCAATAATGAATCACATCAAATTCCACTCGGTACCTGCATTATCTTGATAGGTTTCTGTCAGGATCAAACCACTACACCAAAAGCTAAAACTAGTAGCCAAGGGGACTAGGCTCTCCGAGCTGCAGAGCGAAGGCGCAACTCTATTTTCTTATACTTGTGTCACGTTTCGATGGCAGGAATGTAGGATGCTGGGCTCGGCTCTCCAAGCCACCGCCCAACAGTTTCGTTGTGCAGTGTATTAGCAAATAGCTTTGCCACGAGTCTTGGGACTCTTGGCTTCTGGGAATAATTCAGTTTCAGATATCCAAGATGCCAGTCAGGTGAGTGTATCCAAATTCGGGCCGGGTATGGAAAAAACTGAGATGATCATGAACCTGCATATTGCACCTTCTCATACTTTAACTAGAAATATGCAAAATCAATAGCCAATTAGGCACAGTTCTTAAAATGCATGCAAGTAAATGAATAGTCACTAGAAGTAGAGAAACAGCTGCCAGTGTGCCAGGTTCCCCTTCGGCCAGAAGGGCAAAAATGTCAAAGCAAAAAAGCATACATTTAATTCATGCCTCCTTTTGTGACATAAGTGTGGCTCTTATCAGGGCCACTTGTCTCCTCTTCCTTATGCAAACCTTCGGCTTCTGTTTTTGGTACCTCAAACACAACTAAAAGATTACAACGAGGTAAACCAACCAACCTAGGTTGCCCATATCTGACCGGCTCAAACCAAAAAGGCCAATAGGCCGCTCCCGCTAGGAGTCGAACTTGTAACAATTAAAAGATCATAATGAGATAAACCAACCAGCCTAGGTTGCCCATAGCTAACCGGCTCAAACCAAAAAGGCCAATAAGCTGTTCCCGCTAGGAGTCGAACTTGTAACCTTGTGGTTACCAAATCAACAACCTGACCAACTTGGCTGGGGTTGGCCCCAACTAATATTTTCTTCTTAAATGTACAGAATGGTGCTCAAAAAGACTGCTCACTTCCACTAATCATCTTCAACATTCACCTTCCATCTTATATTGCAATCTCGTCTAATGCCTAACCTTGGATCCATTTTGGTGTTTACTAAAGTTCAGGAGCACCCAAAAGTGAAAACGCTATTTGCCACCAAATAGTCTTTAAGTAATCTATGTAGCCTGCTATCTCTTATTAATTACTCAAAAACTGTCATGTTCACTTCCCAAGGGTCAACACAATCTAATACAGAGTAGTAACTAATATTTGAAAACACATTCTTTAGAAAATTGAGTTGTAACTTTTACAACTACTAGAACTTTAGTTTCTTAATGTCTAATATTTATTTTGAAAACATAAACTTACGTGCATCCAAACTTAAGGTTTAATGGAATTGAATGGTAAAAGTGACAGATATTTGTGGAAGTAGGCAGTATATAAGAAAATCATACAAACAATGAAAGTTTTAAAAAGAACACACAATCCTTGAAAGATGATTTTGTTTTGAAACATATTCAAATAAAAGAAAAAAATAAATGAATGACATGAAAGCATGATAAAATTATTAATTCCTGATAAATTATCTTAGCAATGAACAGCACATAAAAGATATGCACTTCAGGATGCCTGTTTTATTTTCGCTATTGTTTTTTCACACTTTGCACAAGGAGCCGTCAAATAAGAAGTACACAGATTAAAGAAAGATGAAAAAGTAAAAGCTCACCAACTTGAAGCAAATCTGTCATTTTCTGTACTTTTGCATGGTAAAAACGACCGACTGTTAAAGCAACTTGGAATGGAGCAATTCAAGACTTTGATTGCAACCTAACTCATTTACGTTCCTAGAAATAAATTGAGAGAAGAATCACAATGAGCAATAAACAACCATTACTTGAAGTGCTAATATGAGTAGAAAAATCAGTCTGCATACCTTAATTGATCATTATCTCCCATACCTTCCACGTTCTTTGTAGAATGCTAAATGGACTTCCTTTAAGTATGAACAAATTTAACTTCTTCTTCGGTAGGCTAGGGGAGGGGTAGGAACCCGCCATTTCCTCATTAGTTGACTACTATCTCATCGGCACAAGAAAGAAAGTCACAATTCTATACATCTTCCATCCCTATATCCTAAATAGTACAGAAATCTTATGCAGCCCATTCTTATTTGAGTAATCGACTTAATATATAGCTCAACCATGGATGAAGTTAGAAAATTCCAACAAAATGTGCACATGGAATACATGAAAGAAGTAGACTTGCTATTGATTGTATAATTACATTAGACTATAACCATGCTTTTTACTCCAAAAACAATTAAAGGATAGAATCTGATATAGCTGAAAACAACTAAAGACATGGACACACCTTTGCTTGAATATCATTTTGAGCCATCCAAAGGACATACAACTGTACACTTGACTATTTATAAATAGAACGGAACGCCAAGGATTAAAAAAGGTTAGCATACTTACTGAGATCTTATCAAGTAAAATTGACCAACTAAATGAATGAGGCTTGCAGTGAACAAAAATGAACTTGCACCTATCTGTGTTCTTTCATTGGAATTAAAGGGAGTAGAGAAGGGGAGAACATAAATAAATAGAGTCTGGATACTCAAAAAATGACCTTTATTAACAGAAGAAAGATGAACAAGCTACTGATATTAGATGGTGATGCGCACTGAACTATTTGTAATTGCTACAATCTTACAGGTATTAATATCTCCATACTTTATGAGGCCACGACCCCCAATCCAGAAATAATCAGCTCTGAGATGTATATACAACCTAACAACCTTGATCCAAAATTTTCTCTAGCTTGGAACCACGTAGATGAGTAATGAGTTACTGCTTGCGTATAATAACCTTCTGTGTCAGCATCACTACTAGATCAGATGATGAACTTGTGATCCATATCAACACCCTTTGATGGACATAAGTCACAACCACACAAATCTTGATTAATTAATCATAGGTTCTTCTGATGCACGCAAGCAAACCTTCTCAAGCTGCAAGGGCCAATCTTCTCCGAGCATCCTAGGATTTGACTCCATAGCAACACGGAAATCTAACAATGAAACATGAGAATATTCACTTGGCTTTTGAATATATCTCACAGCCCTCATCCCATTTAAAGTGGGTAGAGCTTGTTGCTGAACAATCTTCTGTCTTGACTTTGGGGCAGCTAATGACAAGCATGGCTTTAGTAATCTCTTCAGATAAGAATCCAATCCATTGTTTAAGAGATTAGCACAATCAGTTGAGATCTTCAATCCCTCCGCCTCCAACTTCTGTTCCAACCTTTTCCTGAGGGTGCTGGAATCAGGCAACTCACCAGTGCTGTGACAAGTTTCTGGGGGAAGGAAAGACGATGCTCCATGATGTAACACTTTCCTTGTTGCCCTTGTATTTAGAGAGACACCTAGTGGAGCTGTGACAGGGATCCTACTGTAAATTGCAGGTCTGCCTGCCTGCTCAACCTCTTCTCCCTCTTCCACAGAATTGACTTCAACA